GTTTTCAACATTCTGTGTCTTTATTTTAATTTTGTTCTTTGTTTCTTAACTTTTCATTCAGAAATAATTTGACTTATAAAATGTGGCAAAAACAAAGAATTCCAGCACATCCTTTACCCAGTTTCCCCAAACCACTGTATAATTTTTAAAACCAGGGAATTAGCATTTGTATGAAGTTAACTAATCTACAGACCTTATTCAAATTTTGACAGTTGTCCACTAGTATCGTTTTTCCACTCTAGGATCTAATCTAGGATCCCACATTGCATTTAGTTGCTGTGTTTGAGACAGTTCCTTAGTCTGTCTGTATCTTTCTGGACCATGGCGCTTTTGAAGTATACTGGTCAGTTATTTTGTAGACTTTGATTATATCTTTAAATGCCTTGGCTTTATGTATGCATTTAATGTTGCGATAAGAGGATTTTCCCTTGTGTCACAATTATAAACTATTCCCTTCAAAAAACTTCATTACGTCATTGCCAGTTATTAGGACACTTTTGAATGAATGAGCGTGATGTGACGTTGGTTGGCCTTTGTTTAGAACCATGACCTGTCTCAGCCCGAAGGGCCTTTGAGGATCATCTGGTGGTCCACCGCCCTGGCTTCACATGTGGCGGCATCACGGTCTGTGTGTCTTGGCTCTTTGTCCTTTGTTCTTTCTACTTCATCCTACTGGCCTGAAAGACCGAGGAACAGCCATTCAAAAAATCTCTTGACTTAAATATGTTCAGTCCTTGATCATTGAAATTTTGATTAATTGATGACTCATTTGATCTTGGTGTAAAATCAACTTTGCTTTGCTTCTAAGGTAGATAATTGTAAGTAGCTCATAAAGGGAACTTGGCACAGCTCATGATGATTTCTTTGTGTAACTAAACGCCGAATCTCTTTTCAGCAGCTCCACCCCTTTGCGTGCACCTGTTAGGAAGCAGCCTGGGTGGCAAAGATTCTCTTAATGCTTATAAAACAAATATGTTAATACACCAGACTTATTTTAGGTCCTCTTGGCCTTCTTTGCCGAACTAATCATACAAATCTGTCAGCTCAACTGCCTCCTTGTGCTCTGGGATAATGCCATTTGGAAGTTGGTAAACAGTGACTCTTTTGGAGGCCATTGATTCTTTTGGGGGGAGGGTATTATAAAAGGCAGGCATGACTTCTAAGAGTAGGCTTTATGAAAGCTTATATATTTTTACCTCCGTAAATAAGAAAGGTTAATACTGTTTCTTCATGAAGCTCCTCCCACAAATGTATTGAATGTTATTCCTCTAATTAGATGGACTTAATTTCTTGGCCTCTCACTTTTCATAGCTATATGTTTCTCATAATGTATATTTTGTTTTTTACCCAGTCTATTTTGCAATTTTTAGCCTCAACATTTTAATATGTAAAAAATAAGTGACAGTAAGGTATATGACAATGTGGGAGAGTCTACAGTATACATTTTACTCTTGTTAGACTGTTACATACGAATCATACTTACAGTGATATTTACAATAGATTTATATCTTGGGGAAAGGGAAAGGAGTTAGTTAATACATTCTGTGAAGAAAGTAAAAATCATAGATAAGTTCAAAATGATGTCAGATATACCTTGAAAAACCCCTTAAATCACCGGGAAAGTATGGTATGCATGGTGAATGTATAGAGCCCCGGGCAGTAGTTCTTATGCTACCGCTGTTTGTGGTCCACCAACCCAGCTCCAAGGATGGCAAGAGTTTTTGGCAGATATCTGGGTCATCAAACCACTTTGCTTCCATGAGAGTCTTGAATGTGGAGTAGAGACTGGAAAATGCCAGCGTGATCCTCTTGTGCACAGGCTTTATGCCGTTATGTTTTTAACACAAAGACTTCTTATCTTAATACTTGTTAATAGGTTTACTTGTTTTGGGGGTGACTAAATGAGAATATATATGGCAGCCTCTAATACAGCACCCTGCACGGGCGCAGTAGATGCTCAATAAGTCTTTGATGGGCTTCATCCTGACCTAGCTTGATCCGTTCCACTGTCACACTGTTTGAAAACATGTCTAGAATAACCTGGCCACCTGCTTGCTGTATTCCCAGGTTGGCATTCCTGGTGAGCAGCCTTCCCATTCTCAATCCCTGTTATCTGACTTCAGATAAAGTTTCATGAATTAAGTCATGAATATTAAAGTTACCACAAGATGGCGTCAGGTCATTTCAAGTAATGCCCGCTAGGGGGAGCTTCAGCACAATAAATCTTTAATTTTGAAAAAGTTAAAACATATGCCTTTCATGTCATGGTATTTAGCTATTATAAATAAACCTCTAATTTCTTTTCCCATTCTCATATGGAAACTTAAGGCTCCTGTCTATTCAACTCCAAAAGTAGTTGTGTAGGAAAATGACTTAAATCTTCAAATGATTTTGCTAGAGTGAATAGTTCAGGATCTCTTGTGTTTGGCTAGTAAAACTTGCATTTTCCTTTTGTTATTTGCAAGCCTTGTCTAATGGGTGACCCATAAGTATTTTACAGTGGCCCTTCTCCACAATTTCCCATCCCCCTACTGTGTCCCTTAGTCTGATTTACTTTCTCCTGATATATTTATTGTTTGTTTCGTCAGCTAACCTGTAAAGTCTCTAAGAGGCTACAGTTTTGTTTCTTTCTTTACTATATCCTCAGTGCCTGGAACAGTGCCTGGCCTGGTAGATACTCAGAAAATTGTTAAATGAAGAATAAATAGAGAGTTTTCACTATTATTTAAATTGATAGTCTTTGACTTAAGCAGATATTAAAATTACATAAAAGTGTGAAGTTTCTGAGTTTATAATCTTTAGGAATTTCACTGATAACTTAGTGAAGTAATCAGAACTTGAACACTTTTATCACTGTGTTTCTCTGGTGATTACATCTCCAACCTCTTTGGTAATTTAGTTCAGTAATTTTCCTACAACTTGCAATGTATTTATAATATTCAGTCAGGATGTATTGATGAATATAAAATGAGCAAACTGGGACTGTAGTGAAGGAAATACTCTCATTTTACCTTAGTATAAAAGTTCTCATTCACACACACACACACACACACATGCACACACACTATTCAGGGGATCTGTGTGAATCTCAGATATCCGCCTTTCTTCCAGGGTGCTGTGTAAGTGAGGCCCCTTGCTGAGGAACAGAACAGCCAAACCTGACCCTCCATAATGGACATTATCGTCAAAAAATGCTCAAGGCTAACCCAAGAAAGCAGTCACTGTAATTTTGAGCATTTCTTTCTGGAGCCAGAATGAATGAATGAATGAATATTTTAAAAGCCATGTTTTTGATTAGTTATCAAGATTGCAGTTGCTAGGATGGAAGTGTGAATGAGAGTTTACAGCGTGGGACCGATGAAGTGTTGAGGCTGCTGAGGACAGAGCCCACTGCTCTCTTCACTGATTGGTCCTTGAATGAAGTAAAGTTTATTTTTCAAGTTGATCCCTAAGGTCAGCAAGGTTTATCTTCCAAATCATTCATTCATTCAACAAATATTTATTGAGTGCCTACTATGTGCCAGGCGCTGTGCTAGGTGATGGAGATACAGGAGTGACTGAAATAGACAAGATTCCTGCTCTCATAGAGCCTGTGTTCTAATCCACTGTCTTTTGGGCCACGGATATCTTTAAGAATGTGTAACAGTGATAGACCATTTTCCCTGAAAATCAATCAGTCAGTCAGTCAGTCAACCTTTTACACACACACACACACACACATGCATGCACACAACTGCTGTGGAGTTGGGGAGACTCACATTCACTGAGTTTTGTATTCTGTTTCCTGGGGTTCAGAAGACTTAAAGCTCAAGTTTGTCAAGTGGGGCCCCCTCTTCTCTTGCCCCTCAGTCTGTTCACTGCTCTCACCTCCCCCTCAGCACCTTATGATGTCTCCGTTAAGACTTCCCTGTGGTTTTCTTTTCAGATTTGGTCATATGAGAAAGCAGTAAACCTCTGGGAAAAGAGCCCCAAGGGTGCTCAGCAGGCGCGGGCCAGCAGCCACCTGTCCTATGGCTTTGAGGAAGTCACTTCCCCTCCTTAAGTGTCCCGTTTTGCACCTGAGCAATGGGCTGGGTTTGAGTGACTCGGAGGTGATTCGAGGGTAGGTTAGGGGACAGGCTTTGAAGGCAGCAGAAGTACCTATGAGTAAATTACAGTACCGGTGCTCATTAGCTAGGTGATTTTGAGCAAATTACTTAGTTTGTCCGAACCTTACTTCTCACACGTAAAAGGAAAAAACAGTATATACCTCATGGAATAGCTTTGAGAATTAAACTGAAGTAACGTATGTAAACTGCCTAGGACAGAAATGGTAGCTGTTATCAGCTGTGTTACATCCAAATTGTCTTTCGGGGGAATTTAATCAATAAATAAACTATTTCTTGAGCATCTGGCATAGGTTACTTCTCTGATTCTCCTCCTGTGATGCTAACGTAGCCGTCAGGCAATGGTGTAGGACAGTAGTGAAGGAATTCACTAGGTATTACACCTGCTTCAATTTCCTGGCTCTACCACTAACTAGCTGGGTGACCCTAAGCTCTCTCATCTTTATTCAGTTTCCGTTTCTGAAAGATGGAATAATGGTATCACATGACCCAGTCACATGACCCAGTCACAAGAGAGAAGCTGTTTGGGGATTTAAACAAGATGGTGCACGTAAAGCAGTTAGCATAGTGCGTGGCGCAAAGAACACTCGTGATTTAGGTAGGGCTAGTTTGGTATTAATAGTATTATTTATCTATTAACTTAACCTCCCCCTCTCCACCCAGGGCTGGGTCAGACATCTAAAGAAGACTTTCCCTAGGTTTCATACAGCTCTGGTTGATGATAGCATCTCACTTATCTAGTCTGGAGCAGTCAAATTAAGACCCTTGATTGAAAACTGGCCTTAGAGATTACTTGGGAAATGTTTTACTGTTCCTGCAAATAACTGTGTTTACTGAAATAATTCGCTGTGGCAAAGGATGAATGGTAATTATTCTTTATGTGTTTTCATTTAGTATCCCAACCCCATGGATAAAAATGTCATCTCTGTAAAAATTGTGGAGGAAAAAAGAGGTAAGTTCTCTGAATATACCTCACTTCAGTGATGGTCATTAAGTGATACTGATTTTTGTAAAGATATGTGTGTTTGTGTGTGTGTGGCCAGTTATGTTTTAAACAAGTATATTATATTTCTGTATTTGAGGTGACTGATAGAAAAGAGCACCCAGCATTTACAGCAGTAGAAGTCTTGCCTAATATGTTCTTGTCACTTTCTCAGTTAATAATTGATGACAATTGTAACAGCTAACATTTTTGAGTACTTAATATGTACCAGGCAGTCTTACTCTTATTAACTCATTTAATCTTCAGACCAATGTATGGGGTAAGTAAGTATTATTATTACTCTTATTTAATAAATGAAGAAACCAAGGTACAGGGAAGTTAAATAACTTGCCCAAGGTCACATGCCTGTGTTCCTATAATATATTCATATATCATTTTCTAGCTGGCAAAATAGACGTGATTAATAGCATATATGTGAAATGTGACCACAAAGTGATTAGATTGTAGAATCATAACTGTACTTGGCAATGTGGTTCAGCATTGACTAGAGCAGAGGTTGACAGACGTTACTTGTGCTGCCTTTTGTTGTAAATAAAGTTTTATTAGCACACAACCATGCCCATTGGTTTACATATTATCTATGGCCGCTTCCTTGCGACAACAGCAGAGTTGAGTTGTGACAGAGACCGTGTGGCCCACAAAACCTAAAATATTTGCCAGCTGGCCCTTTACAGAAAATGTGTACCAACCCCTGGACTAGGATGTAAGAGTCTTCACTGTTCTCTGTCATTCACATCTCCAGTGGAAGCATGTTCACTGTCAATGTTTGAACTTGAGAACTGGGCCATGCAGGAAGCTATAATGATGCACATAATCAATGTATAAACCTTTGGAGACACCCAGGCCCAGGCCTGACATGCTCTTCAACCTTCTGAGAAAACGAATGAGATGCTGCTGTTCATTACATGACTCTGAGGTCTGCTCTGTGCTTAGTGAACACAAAACTGTCTTTTGCTTGTGAGGATATTTTCCGCACTTCCATAACTCTGTAAATATATTTTAAAGAACGTTTCCTCATGTACTTGCACTCAGGATGGGAGAAACTTGTTATTTGACATCAGAGAAATCTGATTTCAAGTCTTGATTTCCTTACTACCTACGTGACCTAACTTCTTGGAGGCTCAGTTCCTTCATCTGTTAAATGGGAAAATAATAACAATCCTTTTTTTCAGGGGCCGGCCCTATGGCCGAGTGGTTGAGTTCATGTGCTTCATTTCAGTGGCCCAGGGTTTTTCCGGTTCGGATCCTGGGCACGGACATGGCACCGCTCATCAGGCCACGCTAACGCAGTGTCCCACATGCCACAACTAGAAGGATCCACAACTAAAATATGCAACTATGTACTGGGGCGACTTGGGTAAAAGAAGAAGGAAAAAAAAAAGATTGACAACAGATGTTAGCTCAGGTGCCAATCTAAGAAAAAAACCCACAAGCATCCTTTTTTTACGTTGTCATGAAGATCAAATGAGAGAACAATGTGTATATTCCACAGTGGTATAGGAATGTTGATTACAATTTTTATCATTGATGGGGTGTCTTTGCCTCCAGGAGTGGCTAATCCATTTTAAGTCTGTATGCTCCAAACATTGGATGAGATGGCCAAAGGAGTGCCAATGGGCAGAGGAGATGAACCAGTTTCTCAGCCTATCAGCAGCTTCTGGGCAGTCAGGGTGTTTGCACCAAGGTTCAGGGCTTCTATTGCCAAAGCTTTGAGAAACCCTGTAGGAGCGTGATTGAGTCATAGTAATTCACAGAGCAAAAGACAACACTTCAAAGTTTATCTTTTTCTCTGACTCAGTCTCCCTTTTTCAGATCATGTTTATTGTGTGGTTTTTATATCCCTGGTGCTATGCTGGAAACTTCGTTCCAAAACAGAGTAGTTCCAGTCACAGGGAGTCTGTTCGCCTATGAGAGAAGAGTGTGCTTAATAGAATTAATTATAGGTTTAAATTTTATAGCCAGAAATCTATGCTTGAAAACATGTTTGGTGCAGAAGGTGGCAAAGTCAGATTCTCCATCTTTTTGTTGAAACATTCTCTTTGTTAGAGTTGAGCAGGAGCTCATTGGCCATTGTCGTTGGAGTGTTGACATTGATAGTCCAGAGCAGTGAACAATTTGTGATTGTTTTATCGTTGACTTGAGAATATGCAGTGTGAGTAGCTGTTTTACCCTTATTCTTTGATCACAGATAAATATATTTGGAGTGATTTGGCCCACAAAAGTGGTCAGGAACCCTGAATTTTGAGTTAAACATTTTCTTTAGGAATTCTACCAATAGAAAATAGAAATTGCCATTAAGTTTTATTGACAATAAGACAAGATTCATTTCCTTAAATTTTTTTTTTTGAGTGTAAAAATTTTCTGTTTCTAGATGTGTCAACAGGGATCATCTACAGAAAGAGGATTGCAATCTGTCAGAATGTGATTCCAGAAATGTTAAGGAAGGTAAATTCATTTCAGAATTTAATTGAATTCGGTGTAACATTGGGCAGTTTTCAAATAGTCGTGGAAAGAGCATTTTCAGATGTAAAGGGGCATTAGAACTTCCCCCATTCTCCTACCTCATAGCCTTTCAGAGGGGGAAAGCTCTTGCATATCCAAGCTCAGTTTTGACAGGTCCCACCGGAAATAGTTGTTTTCTGTTTGTTTCTGTCTCTCTTTCTTTTGTGGAGGGCTCTTAGTGGACATAGAGACGGTTTACAGTTATTTTAAAGCTACCTGGACATTTTGCATGAAGCGGTCATCTTTTCTAATCTAGCCATGGTTAGATATGACTCTTAGGTAAGAATGATCAGACATGGGTAGACGGTAAATATTTAGTCTGATCTTTGGTAAGGAAGATAAAAGATTCAGTTTCTATTTCACTATCAGAGAGAATAGTTATTTCAGGGAGTATAATACGCTCAGTGCTCTCTGTAAGACTTTTGGTGTATGTTTCTATAAAGTAATGGCATTAATGATGAAATCTTCATGATAGCAAATTTTTTTCTTTCTTTGAAATCCTTAAGCACCCCGGTGATTGTTGGAAAAGGTAAGTGGAAATTTTTCATCACATTGCTTGAACCGTAGAGGGATTATTGACAAGAGTCCTTTTAGAATCATTAGGAAATAAGAGGAGAGCATCCTGAAATGTACTTTTAGAAATGTCTCAGATGGCTGTTTCAACCCGGAAATGATTCTGTGTGTGATGTAGAACTCAGCTGGGCTCCTGCTAATTAGCTTGCAAATTATATTACTGAGCTGTATGTAAAAAACATGGTGGCTTCTCTTACTTCCTTATCGTGGATTAAGCCTCTGTCACATTCTTTAGTGGAAGGAAAGCTGATATGACAATTAAAATGAACTTTTTATTTTCCAGATGGTTAAATGTGTTTCAGGGTATGCAGCAAATTATTACTGGTTTTTTCCACAGAGTGTGTACCCTGCCTTTGCCCTATATACACTCTTTGAATCTATTATTTAAAAAGGCATTCAGCTTTGTCTTGTATCTCAATTCTTAAATAATTTAAGGACACCTCTGACTTGTACAATTCTGCCTTTGTAGTTTTCCATGTCTCTTCTACCTAGGAAAGCATACATTTCTAGGTATTGGACAGAGTTTAAAATGAAGAAACTATTTTACCTGATATTGTCCTGCATGTGAGCCCATAAATGGGTGCAATTAGAATCCATCAATTTAAGAAGGCCATAACCAGCCCTAGAGGAGACACGAAGGAGGCTGATAATTTGCTTAGTGTTTAGCAGTTAGGGAAACAGGCCAGGGACTATCCAGCCTGCATAAATCCTGGGCCATTTGCACATCCTAACCAGCATTTAGTAAGGTCGTAGTATGTTTAAGTATCAAGGACTTAAAGCCATTGGTGAACTATCATCTGTATGTCAGGATCACTTGTCTTCTTAATTATCCAAGACTAAAAGCAACTCCAGATGCAGTCCTTATGTAGCCTTCTCTTCCTAAATTGAGAAAGCCATCTTCCCTCTGTTGGACAGGTGAGCATTTTAAAGGTACCTAGTATCCAGTTAGAAGAGGAATCATGGCTCAATCCTCAGGAAAGAAACATGGCTATGCGGAGTCACTGCCTTACGTGGACACAGTATGCATCCATGAAGGAAGAGTCTGTCTTCCGGGAAAGTACAGAAAATCCAAATTGGTAAGATCACCTCTGAGTGTGTGCATGTACGTGTGTGTGTAGATTGGGTGCAGGGATGCACAAATGAGCACATATATTAAAAAGCTATGATTCTATACTTATAACCTCTGTTTACAACTCATAAGTTACACATATTAATTTTTAATTGCACAATTAATGAATAGATTTCCTTTGGAGGATAAATGACAGAGCTCAACTCCTTTCTGATCTTCCTATCCGTCTTGGTTCCTTTTTGCCCTCTCCAGAGGCACTAAGTGTTATCAGTGTGCCAACTCTTCTTCCAGACCTTTAAGAGATACCTTTAGGTACTTAGATGTGTACTCACAGGGACTGTATAGTATGGTTTTGTATATCTTTTTTACATGCATTCTTTCATTCTGTGTAACTCATTTTGTACTTGTTGTTTTTTCTTAATAGAGTGTTTCTAAATTTCATCAAATTGATATATATAAAATCTAACTTTTTCTTTTGAACTGTTGCATAGTATTCAATAATTAAACTGCATTCTGTTTAGCTTTTTCCTTTTTGACAGATGTGCAGATAGTTTCTAGTTTCTCTTTATTACAAACAGTACTGCAATATTTGTGAAGCATATGACTCTTGTATGTGCTATATGTGACTGTTTCTTTGAAGAATTTTTTATTTTTATTTTTTTGGTGAGGAAGATTGGCCCTGGGCTGACTTCTGTTGCCAGTCTTCCTCTTTTTGCTTGAGGAAGATTGTTGCTAAGCTAACATCTGTGCCAGTCTTCCTCTATTTTGTATGTGGGATGCCGCCAGAGCATGGCTTGATGAGTAGTGTGTAGGTCTGTGCCTGGGATCCGAACCCGTGAACCGTAGGCCACTGAAGTGGAGCACGCGAACTTAACCATTACATTGCCAGGCCAGCATCTCTAAAGGAGAATTTTTAATCGTCAGGTTTGTTGAGATATTTACATAAAATAAAATTTATTTTTCTTAGTGTACAGTTCTGTGAGTTTTGGCAAACTCATACATATACAGTTGTGTAACCACTCTCACAATCAAGCTATACAGCATTTAAGGTAGATTTTAAAAAGCTATATACCAAGACAATTCAATGGGGAAAGAATATTCTTTCAGCACATGTTGCTGGCACAACTGGATATCCAAATACAAAAGAATGAAGTTGGACCTCTACCTCATGCCAAATACAAAATTAGCTCAAAATGGATCAAAGACCTAAATGAAAGAATTAAGACTATAGAACTCTTAGAAGACAACATAAGTGTACATTTTTGAGATCTTGGATTAGGTGGCAGTTTCTTAGGTATGATACCAAAAACCCAAGCACCAAAAGAAAAAATATGTAAAATTGACATCATCAAAATTAAAAACTTTTGTGTTTCAATGAACACTGTCAAGAAGGTGAAAAGACAATCTGGAGAATGGGAAAAAATATTCACAAACTATGAGTCTGATGAGCGTCAAGTATCTGAAATATATGAAGGACTATTACAACTCAGTAATAAAAAGACAGGCTAATTAAAAAATAGGCAAAAAATTTGAATAGATATTTCTCCAAAAAGATATAGGCGTACCTTGTTTTATTGCTCCTTGCTTTATTGCACTTTGCACATAATTTTTTTTTATGAGACCCTCCACCAGCAAAAAGATTTTGATCTGCTGAAGGCTCAGATGATGATTAGCATCTTTTAGCAATAAAATATTTTTAAATTAAATTATATACATTGTTTTTTGGACATAATGCTATTGCACACTTAGTAGACTACAGTATAGTGTACACATAACTTATATATGCACTGGGAAACCAAAAAATTCATGTTGCTCACTTTGTTGTGATGTTAGCTTTATTGCAGTGAGCTAGAAGCAAACCTGCAATCCCTCCGAGGTGTGCCCTTATACAGGTGGCCAGTAAGTGCGTGAAAAGATGCTCGACATCGTTAGTTGTTAGGGAAATGCAAATCAAACCACGATGAGATACCACTTTAAACTTGCTAGGGTGGCTGTAATGAAAAAGACACAATATCAGATGTTGGAGAGGATGTGGAGAAATCAGAGCCCTCGCACACTGCTGGTGGGAGTGTAAATGGTGCAGCTGCTGTGCAAAACAGTTTTTCAGTGCCTCAAAAAGTTAAACGTAGAGTTACCCCTTCACCCAACAGTTCTACGCTGTGCTGAAAACATATGTCCACACAAAAACTTGTACAGGAGTCTTCATAGCCCATTATTTGTAATAGGTAGAATGTGGAAACAAGCCAAGTGTCCATGAACTAATGAATAGATAGAGAGCGTAGGGATTAAGTATAAAAGCTGTGACCAGAGAATAGAGGTTTTTGCATATATATTTTTTTGTACATAGAAGTACTAAAAGGATGGAATTGTATGATTTTATGCAAAAAACACAAAAATCTGTCATTTCATTTACCTCGTTTCAGCCTCAATTTTCTCACGTATGTGGGCAATTGGCTGGTCTGAAAAGCTGAACTGAACCTTCATCAGTGATATATAACATGGTAATTGGCCTTGAGGATCCAGAGAAAACATCCTTCAGAACCTTTCTCCTTTGTGTGTTTTAAAAAAACTATTATTATTATTTGTTTTATTTAATTGTTTTATTGAAGTAACATTGGTTTATAACATTATATAAATTCCAGATGTACATCATTCTGTTTTGACTTCTGCATGGACTGCATTGTGTTCACCACCAAAAGTATAGTTTCCATCTGTCACTGTGCAAATGTGTCCCTTTGGCCCTTTTGTCCTCCCCCCCCCCACCCTTTCCCTCTGGTAACCACCAATCTATTCTTGGTATCTGTGTGTTTATTTGTTTATCTTCCACATATGGGTGAAATCATATGATATTTGTCTTTCTCTGTCTTATTTTGCTTAGCTTAATACCCTCAAGGTCAATCCATATTGTTGCAAATGGCAAGATTTCATCTTTTAAAAATTATTTTTTAAATAGTCAGTCTGATTCTGGAAGAAAGGATACATGTATCTTATAAAAAATATTAAACAGTTCTGGGGGAAAAAAGGAAACCATTTTTATCACCTAGCAATAATATGTGTTTACATAACTTTCTTGGCTCATTCCTAATTGGCGTTTAGATTTTTTCTGAATTTTTTGCTATTACAAACAGTGCTGTGATGAAATCCCTATGAATACATATTTCCCCGCTCAGTCAATGACCTTTTAAGGTAGGTGGAGCAAAGTGGGGTTTCTGGGTCAGAGGTTGTGTGCATTTTATATTTTGATACATATTATCAGATTCCTCTTTATCAAGGTTTGACCAGTTATACTTTTTTCTTTCTTTGGTTTGTTATAGTCTTGTCCTCTCTAAAGCACTCACTTTTGGGTTATTGACACAGCAAGCCCATATTTATGGACACCTACTATGTCAAGGTAAAGCTAGATCCTTTACCCGCAGTGTTTTGAGCACCAGGTTAAACAACTTACCCAAGGTGATACAGTCAGTAAGTTGCTGAGCCAAGATGTGAATCCAGGTATCGTGGACTCCACCTTGAGCAAAGTGGGGATGTAGGAACATAGACATTTATAAAGGGTGGATTTATGTCAAACTGTAGAGTGCTTTGGATCCCAGGCAATGGAGAATGGGTTTTGTCCTTTCAGCAACAAGCAGCCACATGAAGGTTTCTGGGTAGGGGATGAGGTGATGAAAACTGTGATCCAGACTCTGGGAAACTTATGTTTCCTTAGCTCTTGACAGGGATTTAGAAAGGCATTTTAGGCAGACATGAGTGGGTAATCTTAGGGGAACGTCAGAGAAAGAAGGACATATTATTACTTTCAGTCCCCTCTGTTGCCAGGCAGTGTGAGTAATGGCTAGCCACTGCACCCAGAGGATGAAATATGAACAATTTTTTTCAAAGAAAAAAACCTTCCATGGCTGCTGGGTCTAAAATTAGACCTTCGTGCTGTGTGTTGGTTAGCAGGTGTGCGTGTGTGATGGGAAACCAGATGTCATTGTGGCCCCGCTCATGGCCTCTCAGCTCAATTCAGAGATGGGCTCGGAATGGGTTCCCTATAGAATCTGACTAACCCTTGCCCTACGTCGTTTTCACATGCATCCGGTTTTGGTTTCCTGCTGACTTCTCTGCAGTTGCGGCACCTTCTTGGGCAAGGGCTACCTCGGTCTTTCCCATGTCTATCTTATCACCCAGCTGGGCATTTCTCTTATGGTTTCTTCCTTTATTAACTTCATTGGACTTTTTCTTTGTGCGGTTTTTATGGAATGGAATTTACATCCTTTTCAGAACACAGAGTGATGTGTTGTTTTTCCACTTCGCTCACTTTTCCGGGGTCCAGCCTGGTACTCTGTGCCTCAGAGAAGTCCTCCTGTACTTATTCTATTTCTTTTCCTATATCAGTTAGGCTGCTTTCACAGCAAATAGCAGACACCCTGCCTCAGATGATAGCAGCCATCACATATATGTTGACTTTGTGCCAGGCACTATTCTAAGTGCTTGATATATGCATTTATGTCTGTGTGTGTATATATGTAGCTGTGTATATGTGTGTGTATATATATAGATGTATGTATGTGTATATATATTCATTTAATATACATATTCATTTAATCCTCATAGCAACCCTATGAGGTTGGAACTATTATTATCCCATTTTGAGGCTTAGAGAAGTAACTTGCAGAGGTTAAGATGGCCAGTAAGTGTCAGAGAGAGATTCTGACCTGGGCAGTTTGGCTCCAGCATCTGTGCCGTTGCCTTCCTCTCCATAAGGAACTGTATTATCTCACAACCAAGTGGGCTGTAGTTCCACAGTTGTTCTTTGGCTCCACCTTTCCCTGCGTAGTCGATTATTTTTTCAAGTTGGGTTTCCTCATGGCTGCCAGTAGCAGCTAGAGTCAGCATACTTTTTTGTCCACGTTTGTGAGGGAAACAGACTTGTGAGAGGAAGAGAAACTGGGTCCCCACTGTGGGGGGAAAGACCTCCTCCTGAATGTGTTCGAGTCAGCTTAGATCACCGGCTCCCTCCGGGAC